CATAACAAATATACAGCCATATGTTTATTATATCCCTTTTTATATTATTATTTACTTGTGTATTTGAACACCATACTACATGGTGAGCTTCTTGAGAATGCTCTTTGACTGAATAAAATAGCACAAATATCTTTGTCTTCCAGGAAGAATATAGTGATTATAATTTAATCTTAACCTTTAACTATTTTCATAGAAATCACTTCTCTACATTCTCTTCCTGAATGATTTCAAGTTCCATTATTTTAATTATTACCTTAATGCAGGTAATTCCCAAATTATATTTTCATCCCACATTTGTTTTTAAGCCCTAGATTTGCATATCCAGTTGGCCCCTGGAAATGCATGATTAGAAATTCAGCATATCCAAAGCTAAAATCATCTTTCTTCCTCCAACTTGTTTTTCATCCCTGTGGTGTTTATTTTCATGAATGACCTCCTCCTGTTCCTCACCCTTCATGTCCAATCTTTAATTAAGCCTTGTATGTTTACTCCTAAACTTCTCTTGTAATATATATTTATTCTGAATAACTGTTGCTCAGGTCAGGCTCTTCCCTCTTCACACTGTTTCCAGTCATCTTCCTGAAATACTAATCTAATCATGTTAACCCTCTGCTTATAAACTCTGAGTAGCTTTTTCAAACATCATCCTCCTGAAACTCTGCAGTGTTTTCTTCTACTTGCCCCTACTACTGAATTGAGCCACTACTACTGATATAAATGTTGCGGGTTTTCTTGATGAGTAGAATAGAAAGTAGATCAAAAGCTACCTCTAGAGTCAAATCCTGTCATCTTTGCCTTATGTTCAGATCTTTTACCTGCGGTATGTTCAGCCCTTTTAGCACCTAGCCTTCCTCTGTCCTGTAGTGTGCAGAGACCACATACCGTGCGCATGACTTGCTCTTCGCTTGTTCCGTGCATTTCTAAAAACCATAGTGCATCTACTCAGTGACATTCCAGTTGAATTGAACAACTGCTATGCAGTCTTCAGAATCTTGCTCAAATGTATATTCTTATGAGACCTATATGGACCATCTTAATCACACGATCTCTTTATGTTCCTAAGGATATTTTAGTACTTCCCACCCACTGCTATTATGCCCTTATGTAATCATTGTTGTTTATGAACTAGCATTCTATACTAATGTGATTTTTTCTATTCTTTTTTTTTAAATTTGTTAATTTAAAAATGTGAGAATTTGGGCGGCAGGGAAAAACTCATAATATTTAAGGGTTACCAGTTAAAAGAGATTCCATTTGATACTTGGAACCTCAGGAGGCAGGAGTTTTTTTATATTATTTATTTTTTTTTTAATTTGTTAATTTTTTAATTGAAGGATAATTGCTTTACAGAATTTTGTTGTTTTCTGTCAGACATCAACTTGATAGCATGTACAATTTAGGAAAAGATAAATGTTTTATACTGAAGATAATGCACAGTAAGTTTTTAATACATGCTGGTTCTTTTTTGATTTTTTTAACTTTTAAAATTGAAGTATAATTTACATATAATAAAGTATATAGCATATAATTCAGTGAATTTTTACATTTGTACATGCCTTTATAAAAATCAGAAAGCTGGGGAACATTTTCAGTCTTCCCAAAAGCTCCCTCATGCTCCTCCCATTATTTCCCCGCAGAGTTAACTGTGATTCTGAGCTTTGTAACTGGAGATTAGTTTTGCCTGGAAATTCAGTCTGTATCCCTTGTGTCTGCCCTTTTTCACTCAGTCATATGTCTGAGAGGATTATATATGTTGTTGAAGGTAGCATTAGTTTGTTCTTTTTGTTTGTTCTTTTTGCATTGATGTATAGGATTCTGTTACATGAATAGAATCTCCCCATATACACATACATCCCACCCCATTTATTTAACAATACTATAACTTGAGTAGATACTGTCAAATGGTTTTCTAAAGGGGTTATATGAATTTTACACTTTCATCAGCAGTTTGGTATTTCTCCATATTACAACACAATAGATTTAATATTTTTCATTTAAGAACCAAGGCTTAGATTTTCTTTTTATGTAAGCATTGCCTATTATACGCATTTTGAAAATAAATAAAAATTTAAAGAATAAAAATTATTCATAGTCTCACAACCAGTGATAAGGACTATTTTATTATATATTCCTCTAATCCTTTGTGTACTGTTTAAAGTAAAATTATAATCAGGCAAACTATTTTACATCTTTTTAAAGAGACTTTTATGTTAGCATTTCTCATACCTCTTACTATAATGTCTTATTTGAAATTTTCTCCATTTAAAAAAAAATCATATTTGTATTAAACGCATTTATCAGTTAGGGTTTTATATTTTTATAGCAGTGATAAACATCAGAAGACTGTTTTGGTGCCTATAGGAATTGAGAGGTTGAAAGAGAGAATAGAATTTAGTATCTTTTCCCAAGGAAAATTAATGATTAAACTTATAAATAGGTCTAATATTATTTAAGTCACTGTGAGTCGTTAGCTATCTCAAATAACATTTTATAAACTACTTCCTAATGAAGTAAAATTTGGATGTTTCTTCTCTTGTTATCAGACAGCTGCAGTCCTCACATTTCTCCTACCCTTTAACCACTGCTCCTTGAATAACATAGTTCTCTTCCCAAGCAGTGTATGCTCAAAGTTGATGTGAATGTTGCTTATATACTCATTTACCATTTGCTATATGTACTATTTGGGCACTTTCGGATCTTGCCAACTTGTTCCAAACGGAAGAATCATGAATATATAAGAATGTAAATATGTCAGGGAATTTTAAAAATATATAACCCACCGACTTCTTTCCTCCACCTGAAAGACAAAGCCCTGTATTTGTGGCAGAGCTAGAACTGGAGCCCACATCCAACACCTGTTAGAATTTTCCCGCTTCAGGTGTGAAGTACTTTGTACTTAGTACTTTTCTTGACACTAACTTTGTCTTTTTCCCCCAAGGAAGAAGTACTAAAAGTATTTTTCTTTATGTCTGTGATAGGTAAAGGAAAATTGTTTTACTTACACAGCAAGCACTTATTAAGTGCCTGTGGTATGTTGTGGTTAGTCGCTCAGTGGTTGTCTGACTCCGTGTAACCCCATGCACTGTAGCCCACCAGGCTGCTCTGTCCATGGGGATTCTCCAGGACCAGAATGCTGGAGTGGATTACCATGCCCTCCTCCTGGGGATCTTCCCAACCCAGGAATTGAACCTAGGTCTCCTGGATTGCAGGTGGATTCTTTACTAGCTAAGCTACCAGGGAAGCCCTGTTTAGTGCCTAGAACGTATGATATCCTGTTCCAGAAACTGCAGATAGATGAGAAATAGTTGATGAAATAGGAACATCTGTCAACATGGTGTTAAGCGTGGAAGGAGCTTATTTTTGGGAATCTGAACATCTGTGATAGAATTTCAGCTCTATCATTTCCCATCTCTGTGGCTTATTCAGCCTACTTAATTAATCTCTTTGAATCTTAGCTTTCTTGTTCATTTATTCATTTATGGAGCCCTTACCACATGCAAAGAATAATATAAAGTGCTGGGGATACAGCATTATGAAGGACTTCAAAAGAAACTTGTTTCTGTGGTTTGTATATATTATATTTACAATTTGTTGTTGTTTAGTCACTGAGTCATGTCTGACTCTTTTGTGACCCCATGGACTGTAGCCCACCAGGCCCCTCTGTCCGTGGAATTCTCCAGGCAAGAATACTGGAGTGCGTCGCCTTTCTTTCTCTAGGGGCTCTTCCCGGCCCAGGGATTGAACCCATGTCTGCTACATTGACAGGCAGATTCTTTACCACTGAGCCACCAGGGAAGGTTAAAATGGAGGACTTTATGTATTTATTGATTCATTTTAAATGAGTTAAAGCAGTGCTTTACCTCTGTTAAGTAAATGACATTTTTAAAGTAACTAATTCGTTTACTCCTGAAAACTTCAATTTATCATTAGTAATAAATATTGTTAGTTGTTTTGACAGACTTACTTTGCTCATTTTCAAGAAAGTTTCTGCCACAGCCCAAGCTAGACTAACTATAATTTGTCATTTAAGTAAAAATCATATTCCATTGTAGCCTGTATGGGAAAAAAAATCTAAAAATGAGTGGCTGTATGTAGAACAGTGGCTGTATGTAAAGCAGTGGCTGTATGTGGAACAGCAGCCGTGTGTATAACTTTGCTGTACACCTGAAATGAACACAACCTTGTAAATATACTCCAATAAAATTATTTTAGAAAATGATATTCCATGGAAAAAGTGACTAGATCAGCTTGCAAATTACACAGGTATATTTCTTCAGGGTAGTCATTATACTTGGAAGAAATCTTGATGCATGCTTCGTGTCTTGTTTCACAAAATATTTAAAAGATGTATATTTGAGTCAAAATTTAATATGATTTATAGTTTTTACTGCATTGTCAAGGACATTCATAAGTAAAAATGGCTTGGGGGAAAAAATAAACCTGTGAATGTATAGTTGTGAATACAATGACAATAGAGTGCTATATTTTCTTTTTTCTTCCGCTGCCTTGGTTTGTGCTTCGACACAAGCATGTTTACAACCAGCGCTTTTTCACCATCAAGTGCACGTGTCAACAGAGTGTAAAGGGGAAATGCCATCTTAATATTATTATGAAAATAGTTTTGATCTTGTTAACTCTCTGAAAGGATCCCTCTTCCCTCATCAGATGACGTTTTGGGAACCACTGCTGTAGAGTATATTATTGGTCCTTAATTATAACGCTTTGACTGTTTCCGTGTTGGCATGTACTTGTTTTTGTCATGGGATTGGCGTAAGGAGTCTGGTCCCATACAGTATTGTTATGTGTGTCTGAGCAAGTACTGTTAAAATTTAGCTAGTGCCATTTATCTGCTTGACAGCAATACAGTCAAGATAGCAGCAGACTGCCTTTTAGAACGTATTTGTTATAAAAGCTCCAGAATAGGAATTTTATTCTGTTGATGTGTTATTGGGAGTATTGATTCAAGGTTTTTCTGATCCTGCTTTCTGTTTTGTTTTTAGGCTTGCATTGATGACAATGTTGATATGGTGAAGTTTCTGGTAGAAAATGGAGCAAATATTAACCAACCTGATAATGAAGGCTGGATACCTCTGCATGCAGCTGCTTCCTGTGGATATCTTGATATTGCAGAGTAAGCTAGTGCTGTGTTTATTTTTATCCAAATACTATTGGATTTTGACTTGAGATTTTATAGAAATTATTATAGATAAATGAGAAAACTGTTATATTACTTTAATTGATAAAAATTATTCTTCCTAGGAAAGAGAATAAGTGGATTGTGGGAATCCAGATATTGTCTCTCGGTGTGAGGTCATCTTCTTGTCATCTTCTTGTCTCCCTCCTGTCTTTGACTTCAATACTTTGAACTAATATGAGTAATTCTCTTGAGTACATGTAGAGTGTTGTCAGATGACTTGGTTAATATTAGGTTGGTGCAAAAGTAATTGCAGGTTTGCATTATTGAATTTTGCTCTTTAATATTGGAATACATTTCTAAATAAATGTGGTCATGTTATACATTTTAATGCTTATTTCTTGCTATTTGTTTTTTCGCTAGTGACTTATTACTTGCTGTTTATATTTATTTTACACTAGGGAAATTATGTTAGACAAAAAGCAAATTTGAGCAATTTCTCTTACTCAAGTTCCAAATACGTCGTAGAACAGCAGAGACAACTCACAGCATCAGCAGCACATTTGGCCCAGGAATTGCTAACCAATGTACAATGCAGCAGTGGCTCAAGAACTTTTCAAAGGAGATGATAGCCTTGAAGATAGAGCACAGTGGCTAGTTGTTGGAAGTTGACGACAGCCAATTTGAGAGCAGTCACCAAAGCTGATCCTCTTACAACTACACAAAAAGTTGCCGAAGAACTCAGCATCAACCATTCTACAGTAATTTGGCATTTGAAGTAAATTCAGTTCAGTTCAGTCGCTCAGTCGTGTCTGACTGTTTGTGACCCTACGGACTGTAGCACGCCAGGCTTCTCTGTCCATCACCAACTCCTGGAGCTTGCTCAAACTCAGTTCCGTCGAGTCAGTGATGCCATCCAACCATGTCATCCTCTGTCATCTCCTTCTCCTCCTGCCTTCAATCTTCCCCAGCATCAGGGTCTTTTCCAGTGAGCCAGTTCTTCACATCAGGTGGCCAAAGTATTAGAACTTCAGCTGAAAGCAAATTGGAAAGGCAAAAAAGCTCATTAAGTGGGTACCTCATGAGCTGACTGCATATCGAAAAAATCATCGTAATCCCCTACCATTGCAACAAAAAAGAATAAAATACTTAGGAATAAACCTACCTAAGGAGACAAAAGAGCTGTGTACAGAAAACTTTAAGACACTGGTGAAAGAAATCAAAGACGATATAAACAAATAGAGATTCCATGCTCCTGTGTTGGAAGAATCAATATTGTGAAAATGATTATACTATCAAATTATATCTGCAGATTCATTGTTATCCCCATCAAATTACCAATGGCATTTTTCACAGAACTAGAACAAAAAAATCTCACAATTCGTATGGAAACACAGAAGATCCCAAATAGCCAAAGCAATCTTGAGAAAGAAGAATGGAGCTGGAGGAATCAACCTTTCTGATTCTAGACTGTGTACTACACAGCTACAGTCATCAAGACACTATGATGCTGGCACAAAAACAGAAATATAGACCAGTGGAACAAGCTAGAAAGCCCAGAGATAAACCCACACCACTATGGGTACCTTATCTTTTGGCAAAAGAGGCGAGAATATACAATGGGGCAAAGATAAACTCTTCCGTAAGTGGTACTGGGAAAACTGGACAGCTACATGTAAAAGAATGCCATACACAAAGATAAACTCAAGATGGAACAAAGACCTAAATGTAAGACCAGAAACTGTAAAACTCTTAGAGGAAAACTTAGAACACTCTATGACATAAATCACAGCAAGATCCATGACCCACTTCAAGAGTAATGGAAATAAAAACAAAAATAAATAAGTATAACCTAATTAAATCTGAAAGCTTTTGTACAACAAAGGAAACTACAAAGAAGGTGAAAAGACAACCCCCCAGTATGGCAGAAAATAATGGCAAATGAAAAAAACTGACAAAGGATTAATTTCCAAAATATACAAGTAGCTCATACAATTCAATACCAGAAAAACAAACAATCAGTCAAAAAGTGGACAAAAGATTTAAACAGACATTTCTCCAAAGAAGTGATGCAGATGGCTAATAAACATGTGAAAAGTTGCTCGACATTGCTTATTATTCAGTTCAGTTCAGTTGCTCAGTTGTGTCCAACTCTTTGCGACCCCATGAATCGCAGCACGCCAGGCTTCCCTGTCCATCACAAACTCCCGCAGTTCACTCAAACTCATGCCCATCGAGTTGGTCATCCAACCATCTCATCCTCTGTCGTCCCCTTCTCCTGCCCCCAACCCCTCCCAGCATCAGGGTCTTTTCCAATGAGTCAACTCTTCTCACTAGGTGGCCAAAGTACTGGAGTTTCAGCTTCAGCATCAGTCCTTCCAATGAACACCCAGGAATGATCTCCTTTAGGATGGACTGGTTGGATCTCCTTGCAGTCCAAGGGACTCTCAAGAGTCTTCTCCAGCACCACAGTTCAAAAGCGTCAAGTTTTCAGCGTTCAGCTTTCCTCACAGTCCCAACTCTCATATCTATACATGACCACTGGAAAAACCATAGCCTTGACTAGACGGACCTTTGTTGGCATTGCTCACTATTAGAGAAATGCAAATCAAAACTACAATGACATACCACCTCATTTCAGTCAGAATGGCCTTCATCAAAAAAATCTACAAACTGTAAATGCTGGAGAAGGTATGGAGAAAAGGGAATACTCTTGCACTGTTGGTGGGAATGTAAATTGATACAGCCACTGTGGAGATCAGTATGGAGATTCCTTAAATAAAAAATAAAAGGAATAAAATTACCATATGCCATAACAATCCCAGTGTTGTTATTGTTGTTCAGTCACTAAGTCATGTCTGAATCTCTGGAACTCTATGGACTGCAGCATGCCAGGCTTCCCTGTCCCTCAACCATCTCCTGGAGTTTGCTCAAGGTCATGTCCATTGAATTGGTGCTGCCATCCAACCATCTCATCCTCCGTCACCCTCTTCTCCTTCTGCCTTCAGTCCTTCCTGGTATCAGGGTCTTTCCCAGTAAGTTGGCTCTTTGCATCAGCTCAACAAAGTATTGGGGCTTCAGCTTCCACTTCAGTCCTTCTAGTGAATATTCAGGGTTGATTTCCTTTAGGATTGACTGGTTTGATCTCCTTGCTGTACAAGGGACCCTCAAGAGTCTGTGGATACATATATACAATGGAATATTATGCAGCCATAAAAAGGAACACATCTGAGTCCATGCTGATGAGGTGGATGAAGCTAGAGCCTATTACACAGAGTGAGGTAAGTCAGAAAGAGAAAAGCAAATATTGTTTATTAACCCATCTATCTGGAATCTAGAAAGATGGTATTAATAAACTTATTTGCCAGGCAGCAGTGGAGGTGAAGACATAGAGAACAGACTTATGGACATGGGGTAGGGAGGAGGTAAAAAAGAGAGCGGGATGAATGGAGAGACTAGTATGGAAACACTGACACATGTAAAATAGGTAGCCAGTGGGGAATCTGCTGTATGACTCAGGAAACTCCAGCCAGGACTCTGTGCCACCTGTGGGCTGGGATGGGCTAGGAGGTGAGAGTGAGCTTCAAGAGGGAGGAAACATTTGTGTACCTATGGCTGATTCAGGTTGATGTATGGCAGAAACCAATACAGTGTTGTAATTACCCTTCAGTTAAAAATAAATGTTTTTAAAAGTCGTTATTTTGAAGTATTGTCTTCTCTTACTCAATAACAATGAACCATTTCTCAATCAGATTGTGATGTATGATGAAAAGTGGATTTTATACAACAACCAGCTCAGTGGTTGTACTGAGAAGAAGCTCCAAAGCATTTCCCAAAGTTAAACTTGCACCCAAAAAAGGTCATGGTCACTGTTCGGTGGTCTGCTGCCCCTCTGATCCACTACAGCTTTCTGAATGCTGGCGAAACCATTACATCTGAGAAATATGCTCAGCAAATTGATGAGATGCACTGAAAACTGCAGTGCCTGCAGCCAGCACTAATCAATAAAATGGGCACAATTCTTCTCCAGGACAACACCCGACCACACTTTTCACACCAGTGTTTCAAAAGTTGAAGGAATTGGGCTATGAAGTTTGCCTCATCTGCCATATTCACCTGACCTCTTGCCAACCGACTGCCACTTCTTAAAGCATCTTCACAACTTTTTGCAGGGAAAATGCTTCCACAACCAGCAGGAAGCAAAAAATGCTTTCCAAGAGTTTGTCGAATCGCAAAGCATGCAATTTTATGCTAAAGGAATAAATTTGTTTCTTATTGGCAAAAAATATGTTGATTGTAGTGGTTCCTATTTTGATTAATAAAGATGTGTTTGAGTCTAGGTATAATGATTTAAGTCCAAAACCACAATTATTTTTCACTAATCTTAATATTTAACAATCTAGTCTATCCCTGTGTAATCATTAATTGTTAGGGGAAATTAACAATAGTTCTGAATTATGTTGCTTTGCTAAAAAGAGAATATGATACATAGTTCTCCAGTTATTCAGTGTATTTATGCTTAATTTTTATTGTTTTCTAAAAATATCAAAAATAGTCACTGTATTCTTCTGTTCAGTTCAGTCGCTCAGTCATGTCCAACTCTTTGCAACCTCTTAGATTGCAGCACACCAGGCCTCCTTGTCCATCACCAACTCCTGGAACTTGCTCAAACTCATGTCCTTCAAGTTGGTGATGCCATCCAACCATGTCATCCTCTGTCGTCCCCTTTTCCTGCCTTTAATCTTTCCCAGCATCAGGGTCTTTTCCAATGAGTCATTTCTTCACATCAGATGGCCAGAGTATTAGAGTTTCAGCTTCAGCATCAGTCCTTCCAGTGAATATCCTAAAAGTTGATTTCCTTTAGGATTGACTAGTTTGATCTCCTTGCAATCCAAGGGACTCTCAAGAGTCTTCTCCAACACCACAGTTCAAAAGCATCAATTCTTTGGCATTCAGCTTTCTTCATAGTCCAACTCTCACATCCATACGTGACTCCT